TGTTCTAATCCACGAACTCGTGAAGGGGTAGTATGAAAAAGCCGTCCCCCACAGTGAATGCGAGAATGATGTCATCACAGTCCTCTGGGATACTGAATTTCGGTAAAGTAGAGTAGTCCTTTCGTACCCAGACATTCATCAGTTCGTGTTTCTTCTAATGTCTGTCTAGTTTCCGACAGATATTCCTTACATGGGTCTCATTCAGTCCGGGGCTAAAAATAGAAGTCTTCTACGGATTAGACTAGTCTGGTAGAGGGTGTTGATAGATTCCTCACTTGACTCCGCTTATTTTGGTGGTTCTCTACTCGACCTGCTCGACGGACGAAAGTGACAGTCCGTGATTGACACTAAATATACGAGTCTTCTATGCATCTTAATTGCGTTGAGTCTCTTTGTTCAAAAATCTTTTCAGTGGCCTGACTGTCAGCTGTCAGTCAGAGATCCGAAAGTATTAATAGACATTCTGGGCGCAGGCAGATCATTACGCTCTGAAACACTGTATCGATAACCGAGCAACTGAGGTCGTGCTTGTTCAGGGTCATCATTATTTTAAGTACTGCTCTAATAGTGGTCCGATGAGAAGGAACATGTCAGTAAACAGTTGGTACAGTGTGCGCTCCACTGTCAGGTGAAACAGCAGGAACCATACTTCAGAGGTGACACGATGAGTCACTGATAGAGGTTATTCAACCACCGTGTGTACAAGATAACGGTCAGAATGCGAAAAAACTGTGTAGTCGTGTGCTCAGCATGTAAGGCCACTACTTGTGGGCTCATACAAATGTTTTTTCTGTATTATCACCCGCTATACCATTACTCCATCGATATCCATCACCGGCCACCCAAATTGATCTCATTCCGTCATACAGAATGCTACTCAGAGTATACACTTGTCCTGCTCAGTCAGGTGACCTTATAAGTACTCTTAGTTGTTTGCATCAACACCCAAGAGTGAGATATTTATCCTATCTACTCAGCAAAAAAATCTCAACTAGTTAACGTGTCAAACGGGACAAGTATTACTGACAGCTTATTGTAGCAAGCTGGCTGTGCAACCGGCTGTGTATTGTAGATGTATAAATAACTCGATGAGGGCTTGATTGCTGATTGATTGATTGACTGATGAATTGCGCTAGGGTTGATAAAACTGGTGACACTGAAGCCCGAAGAAGTATCAGAATAGCCCTCCTAAAACCGCCTGCAATGAGCTTGAGAGGGGACTTATTCATTCATGTCCTAGTCTTATTGCTTCGATCCATATGTTACTGGGAAATATGCAGCTTTCCGTTCAGAGACAATGTGACGCGTCGTCTTGCGTGCATTTTGCTGCTTCCGTCAATCATTGAGAATCTGGTCATCCGAATGGATCACAGTACAGAACCTACGGAACGCACTCGATATTGAAATCCCCTTCATGCCTTATTGGAGGCAAGTTTCAAAATTGTCTCCTGAAGCGCTAATAACTAATGGTTGGCTATCGGTATTTTAAAAGCGAACAAGATGACTGTACACGAGACTAGATAAAGGGTGAATTTCCCTCGCTGACGGTGAAAAGTTGAACGCTGGAAAGGATAGCGCTTTAAAGTCGACAAACCTAATGGCTTTAATATAACTAACCGGTCGGTTTGGAACAATAATCTGATGGCATCACTTGAGAAGTATCAATTAGTAAACTGAGAATTTCGAAATATTTTCATGCCTATCTCGAAGTGTCTGTGGAGGTTTCAGTTCAAAGTGGCCAATACCCGGAATCTTGTGCCAAAAGTTTACAAGTCTCTGACCTGTTTTTCACAAGGCTGTCAGAAAAACACTAGAGCTGAACGTCTCCAATTGAGATAACGCGGTCAATTGAACTACAATTAATAAAATCGTTATCAGAATCCACTACCTTCAACTGCCACTTAACTTTCTGAGACAGCATCAGGCCCTGAATTTAGTCTGATTCGTGACCCTGAGAATCAAACTCTGGAGATTGCCTATGTGTGCTGATCTGCTTTAACCTTATCCGTTTTTGTGGATCGAACGCATCTTTTATCACCGCATGTCAAGGAAGCGGTGAATATCTGTGCAACTAAAAACCAACATTTAGTTGATTAACATACCGCAACAGCAGGATACCTTAGAATACTTCATTTTGTGCACAGCATGATTATTTCTTCGGAGCAGGTTTCAAGGCTCACTGACGGTGGAACTGGTATTAAATGTAGATTCTTTGGTGCTTATTTTGTCATCGTTTACATTTCCAAACGTAATATTATCTAGATAAGAACCTAATGGCAATAGGGCAATCTCACATCACAGCCCGCTAGCAGAAAGTCAAATTCTCTCGTCCCATCAAACCACGACGGTGTGACTCTTGCCACGTTGTATTTTGAGTGGCCTAATGATACTCTTTTCATGGCCACCCCCTGTCTGTACGGTGCGGCCATTAGCCAAAGAAACGGCCACCAACACCTGACAAAGCAGCCCAGAAGGACCTTCACACTCCGTAGATTTGAGTGCGCCCGTGCCGCAGAACTGGACGCAAGTAACTGCAGTCATTTAACCGCGGTTTCGCTTAGCATCTCTTTAGCGCATGCTATTGGCCTGGCCGTAACAACAATCGTTCAGCCGTAACACCCTTTCGGTGCTGCCATACCACCCGATGCAAACATGAGGACAGAGATGCTGTCAGGTTGCCCAAGCGTAGACAGCAGCACTTCAGGTGCCGAGGTTGGATTGGAGCCACGAACTTTCCGGTTGGTAAGCTTGCGCCTTAATCACTGAGCTATCCCGAGCCTGACGGTGTCACAAAACCCAGCTATCGGGTGGGGGCAAATACGTACAGTGAATTCGAGTCTTGCTTGCTTTCAGTCGAGAGTGTCCGTTAACCTTCCACGTCAGATAACTGTTTGTAGTATTTCGAGATGTTAACTTCTCTCTGAACAACACACGATGCATTCTTAGTGTTTCGAAGGTAGGTGCCAAAATGACTGCACACTTCATGTGCAGCTCTGACGGACAGTGTGAATTTTTTTAAATGAGCTCCTTGGGACGTAGCCGAGATGGCGTAGCGGTCGCCTCAAATAACCTCTCCTGCCCGGATTAATATGTGCCGTCTAACTTCACTTCTGTCGGCTCCCGGTTAATAAGACATTGAACCAACAGGACTGTCTAGAGCAAAGCTGAGCCTCGCTAATTCCCCCAGAGATCAAAGCCCCGATTAGTTCCTCTCTGGAACGGGTTTAACAGACCTCAGGTATTCTGGTTGGGTACCCGTCACCGCCCATTGTCCTCTTCTCGGGTGTTAGCCGCCAGTTCCCCACAGGATCACTCGATCGGAAGGGGTCTGGGCCCACTGTCTTAGTCCCGTGTCAAACCTATCTAAGGTTTCCCTTGCTCAAGGGAGCAAAGAATACGGTTGGTACGCTCGACAGCAATGTATGCAAAGGTTTGCTCTTACTGTTTCTCGGTTTGTTATATATTATAAGATTAATTATCAAAGAATTGTTCGGCTTACCTTTTACCTCTGGGTTGGAGCTTCCTCCCGGAGAGAAGGACCTTAAAGACTTGGAGTTTGCGGACGATATTGTGCCTCTTCGTTCGAATTCCTTCTAGATAGGTCAGAAAGAAAGAAAGAGAGTTCAGCTGTAGCACCCTTCCGGTGCCTAGCTGCCATGCCACCCGGAGGAAGCACGAGGGCTGGGATACTGCCAGGTTGCCCAAGCTTAGACAGGGGAAGTCGGGAGGCGGTGATCGGTAAATTTGTGCTCTAACCACTTGGGCCATCTCGCCCCCTTCTATATAGGTCAAATAATCTAACTAATATTGTCTCGCGATTGTCGATGCAATTTTCACCCTCATCGTTCAAAGTTCTATTGAGAGATTGAATGAGTGATATTCCTGGCGTCGGAACCACTGGAGATAGTGGACCAATTTACGTGCCTGGTTAGTTGCACTACGTCGGATGGCAATATTACTGACAAAGTGAATGTTGGAATCGCTAGAGCCCGTCTCGCCTTCCTTCAAATCGGGCATCTCTAAGATGGACGTGACATTAGTTTGTTAAAAGATAGGGTTGTTCGGCACACAGTATGACTTTGGTGAAAATGTAAGCTGAAGTGTGAAAAACTCATGTCGGTCTAAAAAAACTGTATGAAAGTACTACTCACCAGTCCACGCGCTTTTTTGCAGACACTGTAGACATCCAACACAATGTTTTTCGGGTTCACAAAGTGTTCTTTTTATTGTTCAACGGCACCAACCATAAAGGATCAATAGAGTTTGGAGAAAGTTCACTAAAGCCCTTAGATATTTGCAGGTATTCCTGTCTTCACGAGTACCAATTGTAATCCTGTTCTCACTGTTGCGCGTAAGGTCACTCGTTGCCACAGTGAAGTCGCAAGTTCCCATTCTCATCATTGGGACGCCTCCGTACGCTTCTTGTTTTCGACGTTGGTTTGAATCAAACCCATCTTCATACGAGGGACTGATTAAATTTGGCCTTAAATAACCTTAAGTGGAAACGTGTGATTATGTAGCATGACGAGAAAGTACACAGTGACCTCGGTCATCAGGTGTAGTTGTAGTGACTTTGGTGTGTATCACTCAGTGAAGCAAAAACGTTTGGCTTACCTGGGACGATAAAGTTTCAAAAAAACGAAACGTACACCATTGAACAAGTTACCCAACTTACCACGAACGTGCATTTCGTTTCCGATACTAGCGTGTCTGAATCATCCTTTGTTGCGAACAAAGCCACTCAGCCAACCCGAAGAGCAGGCTTGGGTCATGTTGGTTTTTGTCTCAACAGATGGTAGAAAAACACTGTATCTGCACTGACACAATTTTCTTGAACTCGAAATGGCTTACTGGGTAAAGCGCCAATTTACTGACCACAAGACCTGTGGTCCGAACCCAACCCTGGCATCTCGACTACTCCTGTTTAGGCTTGGGCAGTCTGACGGTACCTCAGCATGACACCTACGCACCGAAACTGTGTTACAGTTGAATGATTGCTATCACTGTTGTTTAGTCATTTTCTTAATACGTCTAATTTTGTAATTGTTAGCACCATACGTAGTTCGCACCTGAGAGGCGAGATGGCCCAAGTGGTTAGAGCACGAATTTACTGACCGGAAGGTCCGTGGTTCGAACCCGACCTCTGCCTCCCGACTTCCCCTGTCTAAGCTTGGGCAACCTGGCAGTATCCCAGCCCTCGTGCTTCCTTCTGGCGGCATCGCAGTTAGGCACCGGAAGGGTGCTACAGCTGAACGAAAGAAAAAAGTTTGTACCTGTTAATA